TTTTTTTCAGTATTCCAGGTATTTATATAATGTATATATTCCCTGGCTGAACAAATTTGTCTGGGTACTGATCAAATTTTGCTACCTGACTTCCAAGGCCCATCTTCATCTAGCTGCTCTCACGTAACATTATTTCTCACTACTTCCTGCTTTCTAACACCCAGAGCATCGCTGTCAAGTGCACACATGTATTGTTCACTTGCCAAGTGCAGACATTTTTTAAAAATTGATTTCAGAGAGAGGAAGGGAGGGGACGGGGAGAGACAGAGAGAAACATTGATTTGCTGTTCCACTTATTTGTGTATTCATTGATTGATTCTTGCATGTGCCCTGACAGGGGATGGAACCACTAACCTTGGCAAATCGGGATGAAACTCTAATCAGCTGAGCTACCCAGTCAAGTCCAGAAAGTGCTCTTGAGGGGTCCTCAGATCCTAGAAGAAGGCAGTTCTGGGTTTAACCGGAGAGCTGCCACCCGGCAGCTTTGTGAGCTTGGCCTCTCTGAGTCTCAGTTTCCTCATCTGTTCAAAGAGTGAGATGGATTAGTGGATCTCTGAGGCCCCTCCCAATTCTAATGTCTGACAACCTGGAGTTGAGATTTATAACTATGTTTAAATTTTTCTGGAATATATCCCCTAGCTCACACCCCAAACAAACACATCTGGTTAGACACTTCCAAGACACTGAAGCCTTTGGGTCCTATTGCTCCTAGAACATTACAGAATGTTAGAGAACTTCAAAACAAGATTCCTAAACTGGTCATATAAAAAAAAAAAAAAAATCAGATTTTTGAGATCTGGCTGTAACATGAGAAATGCTGGGTTTGTTGTAACACCAGGGAGAGGGAGAGTGGGAAAGAGGGAGAGAAAGGAGGTTCAAACCTGACTAGAGAGTTCCAAAAGACAAGTTTTACTTTCATCTCTTTCCACTGGCCTGTATTTTTATTTGCCTGCCTGTTGGAAGGATTCTATAGCAGAGATCAACTTTCTTCTCTGTAAAGTACTGAATATTCAGTTAGCAGCCTTGGAGAGTTCCACAATAATAATCATCAAAAGGATGTAGCGGCAATTAAATCTCAATCAGAATCAACTAGTAAAATTACCTAAATTGTTACCTAATACTTCCATAGGCAACATTTACCATACCTGGGAGAAGCTATCTTTTTTTTTTTTTAAATCCTCGCCCGAGGATATTTTTTCCATTGCTTTTCAGAGAGAGTGGAAGGGAATGGAAGGGAGGAGGGAGAGAGAAACATGAATATGAGAGACACATCAATTGGTTGCCGCCTCCTGAACACACCCCAGCCGGGCCGTGGCTTGAGCCTGCAACTGAGGGACTGTGGCCTTGGCTGGAATCAAACCTGGGACCCTTCTGTCTGCAGGCAGACGCTCTAACCACTGAGCAAAACAGCCAGGGCATCTGCTTCCCTCTCCTCTGTTTGCCTTTGCTCCATCTCTCCAAAGCTGTCCTGACCTCCTTCTACTACCTCTTATATATAAAACTCATTTTTCCTCTGCCTGAAATTTACTGCTCCCAGTTCCTCATGCCTCTCTCTCTGATCTGGTCCTTCTTGGCCTCACCTCTGCCTAAATGCAGCTTCCTAGAGAGGACTTCTTTGACCTAAGCAATTTCCCCTATCTTTCCCCAATCCAGTTATTCTCTATCACTTTACTCCATTAGTTTCCTTCATGACAGTTATCAAAGTTATCCTTTTATTTCTTACTCAATGCTTGTTTACTTGTTTTCTTGTCAGTCTCTGCCACCAACTGTTAAGCTGCACAAGCCAGGAGCCATGTCTGTTTCGTTCACCTCAACATGGGGCTCTGCCCAGAGCAAATGGCCCATCAACAGAACTGGATAAACACCTAATTTCATATTAGAAGACTCGAATCCTGGTCTTATATCTGGGAGCTCAGTGACCTTAAATTATTTAATTACTTTCTGTGAAATTAGAGGAATTCATTATTTAGAACATCTTTATGGACCTCTCAGGTTAGGAACTTTGAAGGTCTATTATTATTATTGGTAAATTTTGAAATGTTACTTTAGTAGACTCTAAGGGAGAAGGAACAATCAAAGAAAATCAAATGAGATACAAATAAAACCGATTTGATATCTATTTCTGGATTTTAAAAATAAAGTGTGTTCTCATCAGAGATCAGAAGGTTTCTCAGGTGGTAATCAAAAGATCAAAATAATATTCAAATGCATAATCATGAAATATGATATATGCTTTATATTTAGGGGAGTTTGATGATCTGTTGATAATTTTCAAGAGTCAGGTTTTTTCTATTATGTAGAAAAACAGGGACAACACACTGAGCAGGAAGTTAACCCCAGCTATACCAAGAAAAAAAGCCAGCTGGGTGCATTCTTCAGTTGAATGTAAAGATAAATATATAATCTGATAAAAGACATTACACAAAGTGACAGACCTTGGCTACTTTGGGGGTGGGGGCAGGGGGACTCTAACAATGGAATTAATCAATTGTCAGGCATCTAAGTGTGTTAGCACGCTAAGGGACACAAAGGTGTTTGAGAATTGGGCTCAGAGGGTGATTATGGTACTATATGCCTGGACGTATTTACCGTCTCCATTTTAAAAATATTTCAAACCCAAATATTTTTATTACATTTTATCTTTGTACACATATTATACTTTAAGAAATGTACCGTTAGATTTATTGAGAATTGGGAATAACAGAAAGCCTTGGCTAGCCAAGGATATCACCCTGACTGGTTCTTGAAAAGATCCATTTTACAGCTAGTGTTTCTCAATTTTTTTTAACCTATACCCTCCCATATCAGAAGTTATGATTAAGCCTTACTTTCTATACTTTGTAGTTCAAAAACAATAGTTATTAAAAATAAGTATGAGATTATATTCTTGAATATATTCTCCATCTGCCTTCTCATTTGTTTGGGGCCTTCCTCCCAAAGAGAATCAGTGATTTTGTTCTAATTTTGAAATAGCATAAGTACGGCACAAAATCCATTGTTTACAACAAACACTCCCAACACCTCCTGAAATAAAGCCACCTGTGTTTTACATTTCCCTTCAATAACCTGAGAAATAAACACCATGTTCTAGGTGAAGGGGTTGAGGAGACAGAGAGGTTTCCTGTTTGATTGTTTCAGTGTACACCAGGCCTGAGTGCTGCAGGAAATAACAAAATTCCAAGAAAGGACTGTGAAGGCGGCTCTTCAATGTGACTAGCTCCTGGTAGGGCTGTCCTCCCCTGAACCTAAGTGTAAGTGGGTGAAAGGATATTAGAAACCCTCAGGACAAGAGCAAGAGAGTGTCTTGCCTGCCTTCTCATCAAGTATTGTTTAACGGAATGACTGAGTGTTAAGTCTGCAGCAGAGCTAACAAATCTTGAGTATCTCAGGGAAAACAGAGACTACCAGAAACAATTTATTGAACACACACATATATATATTTTCCTCAGTGCAGGGCACTTTCTCCATTTATTAATGCAACCATCTTGTGAGATAGTTACTCATATCTCTATGTTAGAGATAAGGAGACACCCTCATTTGTAGGGGAGAAGAGTTCAGAAAGGGCATCTGATACTCTACCCTGGGGGCTGGAGTGGGGCTTTAGCTTTTGGGAATCCATTTGAAACTGCTGCTGAAGGCCAGCTCTGCCTCCAGCCTGGGAAACGGAAGTAGGATTTTGGAGACTTCCCTTAGAGGGAAATGTTTATATTTCTTTGATTTCAGAGAGAGTAAGGGAGAAGGAGGGAAAGCGATAGAAAGAAACATCAATGATGAGAGAGGCACTGATCGGCTGCCTCCTGCACGCCCCCTATTGGGGATCGCGCCCGCAGCGGGGCAGGTGCTGTGATGGGGAATCGAACTCCGATCTCCTGGATCCTGGGTCGATGCTCAGCTGCTGAGCCTCGCCCGCCGGGCTAGAGGGAAATGTTTAAAAGCAGGAAGGCCCAGGCCCGGCGGGGCCAGCCCGGCTGCAGGCTCCACCCCTACGGGCGTGCAGGAGGCGGCGGATCAATGACTCTCATCATTGATGTTTCTCTCCCTCTCTCTCTTCCTCTCTATGAAATCAACAAAAACATACTAAAAAAAAAAAAAAAAAAAAAAAAAAAAAAAATGAAGGGAGGCCCAGTGACGGGGTGAAAGCGTCTAGGACTCGCATCCTGCTTTGGGCCGCCCGCGTCCTCTCTCAGGGCTGGGAATTGGGAGCCGCGCGCAGATGTCAGGGCTTTGTCTTCCCCCCACTGGGGCCACGGGCGGCGCGGCATCCCGGCCCCGTGAAACGCTGCCTGGGGACGGGCGTTGGCAAAGGGCCTTTTTTCCAAACAGGATTTACAGGGAATTGGGGGGGGGTTAAGGGGCCTTAGGGACCTCCCAGGCGAGACCTGGCCCCACTGCTCGCGCAATGAAAACCTGCCAGGCCTGCTCGGGGTCCGCGAGGCCTCGGGGCTCGCCCGGGAGGGAGTCCGCGTCCCCTTTGTCACTGGAGCGGGGCCCCGCGGGCCCGTTGCTATGGTAACGTGGCTCGCCCAGCTCCTATAGGCTGGGAGGAGGGAGGCGGGCCTCGGCGGACGTCACCCACACTCGGTTTGGCGGTACTGTCCCCACCCGTAACTTAACCGTTTGCCAGGAATGAGGCCGTGAGGTAGAGGCTTTGTGAGGGGTCCCGGGTGTGTGGGGGGGCGCATTAGTACAGAGTGAAGGGTCAGGATCTCGCCCCACCAACCAACCCCAAAGTCCGTTCCTACCAAAGGTGTGAAGGTCCTTCCAAGCAGGGAGGAGGAGGTGTCGTAATTTGGGGTTCGGTCTGGCGGGCCAAGTCCTTTGGTCCACCCAGGCCACGCCCACCAAGGGGGGGGGCGCCAATCTAGACCACGCCCCTTCCCTGGGCGCAGGGAAGGAGAACCAAAATGGAGGAGTAGGGATCTATATTAAACTGAGTCAGCGCGACTAATCTCGTGAAGGCTGGGGGCACGCCGTGTTCCGCAGGCGTCCTCCGAGGCCACCCCGCCCCGCCATTTTCGAGGCGCCCTCTTAGTTTTGCGCCTGCGCGCTTGCTCCCGAGCTCACCGGTTGAGCCGTCACTCACGGAATCGCTGGGGCGCGCAGGAAGGGAGGAGTAGGCCTGACGAGGAACGCGCGCGTCGGGAGTGACGCGCAGGAGCAGGCGAGTTGGGAGGATCGGGTGGGTAGAGTGGTGCCTCCAGGTTGTTTGGTGGGCGGTGCGTAAGGCCGCTCTGGGTATGAGGGCGCCCATCTCACTTGCCCGCCCGATCCTAGGAGCAGATCCGGGGCAGAGGGGAGAGAGCGCCGGGTCAGGGGCCGCAACCGCCGCTCCCGCGGAGTCCTCCCGCCAGCCCGCCAGCCTTCGCGGGCGCCGCCTGTCAGGGTAAGCGGGCCCGCGCTTACCTGAGAGGAACGTGGGGCGAGAGAGTGTGGTAGGCCGTCTGGGCCTGTGGGAGGAAGGGGAGTGGGGCGTGTGGAGAGGCCGGCTGTGTGAGACGAGAAAGGGGCCCACGGAAGAGTAGTACTACAGCCACCACTGCCACGGGACAACAATATTCTCGTGAGTGTGCCAAGACTTTACAAAGCACCTTAAATATGCTTCATTCTATTTAGCCTCTACTAGAGCCTTCCGAGGTGTATACTATTATTAAACCCATTTTATACTATGGGCAACTGAGGCAGGAGAGGGGTTAGGTAATTTATGCAAAGCTAGTCGGTTAGTGTGGCTTCGAATTTAGGTTTGTCTGCCCCTAAGGCCTGTAATTTTAATTGCTTCGCACAAAAAGGGGGAGGGTGGAGGAGGCTGAGGAGGGGAGGGATGGGTGCGAAATGGGTGGGTAATCCCGGACGGGAAGAGAAGGGTGACGGGAGATTGTGTAGGAGCAAGGCCTGGAGTTTGGAACCTTGGTTCTTGTGGCCCCGCGACTTTTCCCTGCCGGAGCTGTTGCTCTTGACGAGCCAACTCGCGCCTGGGCCCCATGAGTGGCTTTATTGCGGTTCAGCTCAGGGCAGTGTCTTCCGACACTTTTGGGGGGAGAGGGGAGTGCGGGGAAGGCGGCGGCGACCACCACCGTCTGTGGTGGTTTATCGACAGGACCCTCTTCCGAGTTGTTGCCATGTCTTCTAACGTGCTTCTGCTTCCTTTTCATCTTATGCATGCGCTGCAAAGCCTTTGTTCAGCGCAAAGAGGGGTGTGTGTGATGTTTATTGTTTTCTTGCACACTTGGGCTTACCACAAAACCAGAAATATCATTCTTTTCCCAAGCTCGCTCTGGGTTGCTTGCGGAGAAAGCTTTCAGGTGGCTGTATCATTAGTTGTTCTTCAGAGCTTTTCTGGGTAAACAAGGAGCTTTGTTTCGGAGTTGTTTTACACTCTAGGGCGTCAGGAACGGTCTGAACAGATGGCACTACAGACCAGCACAGGGCAAGGACCTCAGTCATTCCACGTGCATGTTTATGAGAGAGAAAGAAGGACCTTTTATTCTTGCACAGTCTAGTGCTGGGAAACAGGTACTAATTAGTGCTTGCCTTCTACTTTCATAGGGAAAGGAGTAGCTCTTGTGGAGTCATTTCAAAGTTAGCCTGTGAGGCAGACATTGCATGTGATCAAACCCATCCTTAAAAATCCCTCAGGAAGTTGCAGAGTTGGAGATGGCAGGCCTGTTTCTCAGAAAATCCAGCAGACTCAGTTTTTCCTTCAGCTTTGAAACTTGTTCTTCTTTCTTTGGTTGTAAACCAGATAAAGTACTTAGGTTACCTTTAGGGACTGTGCTGCACAAAAACAGTATTTGGAGGGCATAGTCTTTCTGCACTGTGAGGTACTCTGTGAGATACAGGCACTGAGAGGCTTAAAAGTAGGACTAACCAAGGGGAACAGGGTGTGGTTCCCACCTTAGGCTCATTCTGGAGCATGTGCTCACTGAATGGAAAGTGGCAGTCAGAATTGCTGGCATTATTTATTATTATTTTAATTTATTATCATTATTTCCCTTTTTGGGTAATATATCCAGTAATGTATGCTAAGGTAAATGTGCATAATATGATTCCTCTTCAGTTTTTGAGTGGCACTACATTTAGGGGCTTGCAAGCTATTGTCTATTTCCCAGCAGTTTTCCTAGATGAGGGTTTGGTGCAAGTGTGTCTTACATATTTTTGCCAATAGTCTGCTTTTGTGTTCCCCATTTGTCAGGTATGTATAACAGTGGTTAGCTTTTTAACAGTGGTTATCTGTTTGAAAAAACATTCTCTTGGAAATGGAAGTCATGATGCTACCTTTTTTTTTTTTTTTTTTTTTTTTCC